TTCTAATTCAACGCTCATTGGTCGATACGGTCAATGTAGAACCGGCCTAACATGTAGGTACGCGACACCGCAGCCATCCCCACCTTATTCCTACCACCGTTGATTCCCGCGCCTTACGCCCATTTTAATTTTTGGAACTATTTCGCTACACCCACTTTCAGGCACTGCCGATAAAGTCTCCACTTGGTGCGTGTCCGTCCAACGCCCATTTTTCAAATGGATAATACAGTACGCAAGTTTGGTTGTGTTCCATGCTGCACGCATGAAATGTCGGTAACACGAGAATGTTATTAATTATTCGTCACATGAGTGAGCGAGAAGGTATAAGAGCGAGCGAAATGGCAATAAGAACGAGTAAGACAGTAATAGGAGCGAGCGAGATGAAATAACACATGCGAGCCCGGCGATTCTCAAGAAAGACTCGATCCCGATCCTCGAGCCTTCGTCGCTTGCTGTTATTCTCATCTCAATCACTCCTATTGCTGTCTCGTTTGCTTTTATAACAACTGTGTTTTATACTAACACGCTTAGAAAATTATATATAAAATTATCATGTTTAATATTTTTAATATACATCAAGTATATCAGTAGCAATTGTATTAAATCCAATTATAGCCCCAAATCAGACCTTTTATAAATCGCGTCGTGGTTCTACAAGTTGGTCTGTTTTTATTGAATTAAAATTTAATTCAAATAAAAAAGAAAGGTATTAGTTTATTTATAACTAGAACTATGCAAAGTTTAATTTGATCAGAGTGCAATCGTATTGATTGTCCGATATAAACGGAGCAATCTTGTATGTACAAAAGAATGTTTAAATAATTTTCTGGTGAATATCCAGAACAGTGTGTGCTACAATTTTTGCCGGTAAATAGTATACAAGTTTGATACGAAACTTGATACATTTAATTATACCAAAGTGCTAGTAGAAATAAAGCTTGTCAATAAACTGGTATGATTAATGATAAAAATCAAACTTTAATTTACTTACTATACAGTCTAATATAGTTTGTCAGCCAATTTTTATATGTAGCAGTTATACATATAATTTATATTTCAACATTTTACTTTTTATTCCATTGCTGTGTGTAAGTTTCATGATAAGGGCATACATATTCAGCGTAGACATCTGCGGGATGCGAAACGAAGAAGATTGGTTTTTGGTTCGTGTCGCTACGTCGATTTTTCGCCGAGTTATAACGTTTTAAAAATCGGGCGCGCGCGCTCCATTCATTCGTGAAGGCCGCGCAAGTTTTTACGCGAGTAGTACGCGAGCCTACTACGTCCCCAAAAAACTGGCACAAAAACATACGAGGCACACGGGTTCGGTAGTAAACACCGCCGCGCCAGCGCCGCATATACGCGCCGTCTGCTGGCTTCATCGCCGCGCGGGACGCCGCGCCGCGCGCCGCGTCGTCTGCTGCTTCTGTCTCAGGATTAAGATCGCGAGTCGATATAATCGTCAATATCTTTGCACAAAAAAATCGTAGCAAGATGATCTTGGTCTCGTTGAAAAGCTGAGATTTCAGCGCTTCTAACGAGGTAAGAATGGCTTATCTCGGATCATTAGTTTATGAGACATCATTAATTAATTCTAAAAATAAAATTAATTTTGTCCCGAGATCGAGATTACGAGTCAATATAATCATCAATATCGTCGCGCAGAAAAATCGTAGCAAGATGATCTTGGTCTCGTTGGAAAGCTGAGATTTCAGCGCTTCTAACGAGATAAGAATCGCTTATCTCGGATCATTAGTTTATGAGACATTAATTGATAAGTTCCGAGAAAATTGATTTTGTCCTGAGATCAAGATTATGAATAAATCTTTCGATTGGAATCGGCGGGGGTGGTGGAGGGCCTCTACAAGTTGGTCTGTTTTTATCGGATAAAATATTAATTTAAATCCAAAAGAAATGCATCATTTCATTTATAACTAGAAAATACAAAGTTATAATAAAATATATACATAGATAACCAAGTTTATCGAGAACAATATACTACAAATTTTGTTGACAACAAGAGTACAACGTAGCTTGTCAGCAAATTTATATATTTAGCAATTATACATATAATTTATATATCAGCAACGAAAGAATGTGAATTGCCAGTAGTTGATTAATGATAAAAGGAATTGTTAGACGACTTTAGACTGGCAGATGGTTTCTTTATTTAAATCCGACGTTTCGACCATACAGGTTGTGATCCTCAATTTATTAAACAATCTACAAGTTTAATTACGGGAAATTGAGAAGGAAAACTTATAGTCAACCCAACTGGCTAGTTATTTGATTAGTTCATTACACAACGTTTCGACCCTATTCTTTTGGGTCCTTTTCGAGTGATACTAACAGTCATCGATCAGATGACTGACTTATTGTTAGTATCACTTATACCTTCTCGCTCGCTCCTGTGACGAAAAATCAATAACACACTCGTGTTATCGACATTTCATGCATGCAGCATGGAACACAACGAAAATTGGGCGCTGTATTATTCGTTTGAAAAATGGATGTAGCACGGACACGCACCAAGTGGAGACTTTATCAGCAGTACTTGAAAATGGGTGTAGCGAAATAATTACAAAAATAACAATGGACGTGAGGCGCTAAAATCAGCCGAGCGAAAACGGTGTCGAGTAAAATGCCGGCGTGGCCGCTCTCAGGTTTCTCTCAGGGGCTCGATTCTTGAATTCATTCGAAGAAGAAACGTATACGAAAATTCTGCTCCGACAGAAAAGTTGGAAGTCGATTGGTCAAAGCTATTCGAATAGCCAATCAACTTGCAACTTTTCTGTAAGAGCAGAATTTTCGTATACGTTTCTTCTTCGAATAGTTTCAAGAATCGAGCTCCTGGTGCTATTATTCTCCTCTTACTCGCTCCTATTATTGTCTCGTTCGCTCACATAACGAAATATCAATAACTCTGTTTTTATCTACATTCCATAACGTGCACATCTGCGTTATCAGCTTAGACCAAACGTGGACATTGGCCACGTAGTTCATGTCTACTGTTTCAATGTACGCAGAGGGCGCATCGCGTTCGATGATCACGTAAAATTGGGCCGTGGCAACTCTCAGGCAGCTCTCTGCTTCTCATCCATTCCAATTGATTTTAACATAACCCTGCGGCACGATCGGCTCGTTCATTCTCCCCGTACCTTCTCCGCATGTACGAAACGCAGTCGCCTAGTTCGCGTCGCCTTATCCGAACGGATCGCGCGTTTAAGGGAGGACCCCTCTTGATGTGAATGGTGCTTAAAGTTCGGCGGACGTTAAAACGTTTCTCGCTCGTTGTGACGACTTGTTAGTCGTTGTCGGCGTAATCATGGCGGCGGGGACCTCGTCACGGGTAGACGAACTCGTGCAATCTGTCAGCTTGCACAATCCGCGCAAATGGATGTTCAACGGTTACATCCTGCCTTTCGTGACACTGCAGTCTATGTGGATCTACTGTTGGATCTACGTTTACGGTGTTAATGAGTACTACGACGCGGGCCTGGTGGGCATCGCGGCGATCGGCGTGCTACAGATTTTTCTGTGTCTGTGCTGCCAATGGTCCGTGCACATTCACACGTTCTTAAACTGCAGCACGGTAAGTCGCGATCGCCCTTCAATTTGGCTCAAATAACGGGCACGTGGCTCTTCGTGGCCCCAATATGTCCCGTAACGTGGCAGCCATTCGAACGGTCGGTCTTCTGCTAGGTCGGTCACGTGGCGCCGTGGCGGGCACATTCGAATATCGCGACAGACACACCTTGAACGTGTGGTCACTCCATCATTCTGTTTTCGTTCGACATTTCTTTTTTTTTAATAAATAAATTTGTGGCGACCTTAACTGGCCGCTGACGCTATCGCCCTCCTACAGTTTCATTGAGCGTGTCTTCGCTGGCGTTTTGTTTACATCATACTTTCTAATAAAAGCTAAAAGAAATATACTATATAGTACTATTTAGAACCTTCTATAAACAATTATATTAAAAATGGATTGTAAATTGCACCTTTATATATATTAATAGTGCGACGTTTCGACCATTGGTTTTGATCCTTTTCGAGCACGTTCTTAAAAATGTGCGTGTAAGAGTTATAAGATGGTCATTACAGTAAAATCGGAACAAGAGTACGTGAGTCACGTTGTAAAAAGAGAAAACGCAAGATTGGAAGCGTCCGCATTATTCGAAGATCGCAGCATGACTGAGGCTTCCTTTTTTTCTAATCCGTAAATGAACTTGCAGGAAAAGGATCCGTACAAAGCCAGAATAGTTAAAGTAGTCCCCACCCCAAACAACGGGAGCTCGGAGCTGATTTTGTTACATCATACAAATAAGCAGAAACCTTGGTTCATTTTTCAAAAGACAAAGTATTACTGGGACTCGGATGTGAAGTCGTTCAAAGGGCTGCAGTTCCCGACCGATCATACCGTGAAATATTACTGCGAATGGAAGGGGTATCTCGATCAAAAGGAAGTTGAGGCAGCGGAGGAAAGATATGGGAAAAACATGTACGATGTGAACTTGCAGTTATTTCTGGTATGTACGGCACCTTTTACATCGCTGAAACTTATGTCTTTTTTTTTTACTCTAGGTTGGACATGGTAGTACCCGAGTTCTGGGAGCTCTTTAAAGAACGCGCCATCGCTCCGTTTTTCGTCTTTCAAGTATTCTGCGTGGCACTCTGGTGCTTAGATAAATATTGGTATTATAGTATCTTCACACTGATCATGCTTATCATGTTCGAGTGTACCCTGGTGCAACAGCAACTAAGAAATATGGCTGAGATTCGTAAAATGGGCAATAAGCCGTACATGATAATGGTAATGGAATACAAGCTGCTACCCGCTTGCAACTTGATCATTTCTAACGGATTTCACCCACTCTTATTCTTTTCTCCATTTAGGTGTATAGAAATAGGCGATGGCGCTTGTTATTTACAAACCAATTAGTTCCTGGGGATGTTGTCTCTATTACGAGGTCTCAACATGATAACTTGGTGCCATGCGACATGTTGCTTTTGCGAGGCCCGTGCGTGGTTGATGAAAGCATGTTAACAGGTACTTTAAACACGCTACTATGACGCTTAAATCACGAACGTATGATTATAGCGATTGGAAATGTATAGGTGAATCTGTACCTCAAATGAAAGAACCTATAGAAGATATTGATGGAAATAGAAATGTAGATATCGAGGGAGATGATAAGCTTCACGTGCTTTTCGGTGGTACAAAAGTTGTACAGCATACACCACCTAACAAAAATACCCCCGGTCTTCGAGGTATTGTCGACAAATTTCTACGATGTTCTCGCTCACCTTACGATATTAAACGCGCGATGTTGCAGCAACCGATAACGGATGTGTTGCCTACGTATTGCGTACCGGCTTTTCCACGTCACAGGGCAAACTTCTGAGAACGATACTGTTCGGCGTTAAACGCGTTACAGCCAATAACTTGGAAACTTTTGGCTTCATTCTATTCTTGCTTATTTTTGCAATTGCTGCCGCAGCGTATGTCTGGATCAAAGGTAATTCGATCTTGCGCATAAAGGTGGGGATGATGAAGTTAATACGTCGCGCAAATTTCGGTTTTAGGCAGCGAGGATCCTACGAGGAACAAGTACAAACTATTTTTGGAATGCACGTTGATTTTGACATCTGTTGTACCACCAGAGTTACCTATAGAATTGTCTTTGGCTGTAAATACATCTCTGGTAGCTCTGGCTAAATTAGGTACTTAAGACAAGATTCGTACTTTGCCGAAGGCTCAATCGTAGAGGAAAGCCCCCTATTATGAGATAGTTTCTAATATGAGATAACAGGTTTTCAACATCCAAATTCAATCACTTTTTTCGATGATGCCTATTTAGCAGCAACTCCGCCATCTCATATTAGGATCTTGTCTCATAACAGGAAACTTTACTAATCAAATACGCATAAAAATTACAATGTCTCGTCTATTCGCAGGTGTATTCTGTACAGAACCATTTAGAATTCCATTCGCTGGCAAAGTCGACATTTGTTGTTTCGACAAGACCGGTACGCTAACCAGCGATAACTTGGTGGTCGAGGGTATTGCGGGTATCGAGTAAGAAACTACTGTCCATTTTACTACGCTTGCATAATCTTTCGGGCTATTAGACTTTAATCTTTTTCTTTTGAAGCGGCAAGTCGGACGTGATCCAAATATCAGATGCACCTTTGGAGAGCATTCAAGTGCTCGCCACGTGTCATTCTCTTGTTCAATTAGATGACGGTATCGTCGGGGATCCGCTAGAGAAGGCCACTCTCAAAGCTATTAATTGGAATCTCACGAAGAGTAGGTATAAATTTGCGAACAATACAAAACGCTGGAATGTTGACGCATTACTTCACGCTGACGTTTCCTTTAGGTGATTCTGTAATTCCTAAAAAGGGCAAATCTCCAGCACTGAAGATCGTACAAAGGTATCATTTTTCATCGGCTCTGAAAAGAATGTGCGTCGTGGCCGGATATAATCTTCCTGGAGCTTCGGAAGTGCATTACATGGCTACGGTAAAAGGTGCGCCGGAAACTCTGAAGAATATGGTGAGCGAAATAACATTTGTCTACAACTTTGATTAATTTTGATGTTTATAGTTATCGGTGTAATCTGCCGTTTCAGTTAATTTCCGTGCCGGAAAATTACGATTCAACTTACTTGGCTCTTTCACGTCGCGGCGCAAGAGTGCTCGCTTTGGGATATCGAAAACTTACCGGTAGTTTATCCTCTCAAGATTTGAGAGAATTGTCTCGTGAAAAACTAGAAAACAATCTCACGTTTGCGGGATTCGTCATCATCAGCTGCCCTCTCAAACCTGACTCGAAAGCCGTTATCAAAGAGATCGTCAATTCATCGCACTCGGTACGTGCACGACGCTATTGTTGAGACATCGCGATACATGCAAATGTATTCGAAATAAAATATTTTCGCACAATTATTAGAAACTGAAAGGAATTTAATAATTATTTAGGTCGTGATGATAACGGGTGATAATCCGTTGACGGCTTGTCATGTAAGCCGCGAGTTGCATTTCACAAAGAAGCCTAGCACACTTGTACTGACTGAAGATGATGGCGAATGGTTCTGGGAGAGCATAAACAAGACGACGCAGCTTCCTTTGAGCGCGGACAATATTGAATGGCACAAAGAGATCTGGAGGGATTATGCGCTTTGCGTAACGGGTGAAGTATGTAGATAAAAAAACTTTCTGCCAATCTCAGAATTACAATGCTCGTTCGTTACTGCACAATAAACTTTTCTAGGGTTTATCGTATCTGAAGGAGAAGCAACGGGAACTTCTTCGACGGCTCTTGCCTCACGTCGTGATCTTCGCACGATGCGCACCGAAGCAAAAAGAGTTCATTATCGTATCGTTACAATCTTTAGGCTATACGACATTGATGTGCGGTGACGGAACGAATGATGTCGGAGCTTTGAAACACGCACAAGTGGGTAAGTTGACGAAGAAGATATGGTAAAAGTTGGAAGTACCCGTTTTTCTTCTCCTCCCCCCCGCCCCGGGTAGGTGTCGCAATTCTGTCCAGTCCGCCCGAGAGAGTGGTTTCCGATAAACGAGAAGATCCCAGGAACGATACTTTGTCGCCCGTGAACAACGGGCCAAAAAACAATCCGAGAGCCGCCCCGGTGAGCACTCGCGCGAAGCTGCAGAAGATCCTGAAGGAGATTGACAACGAGGTGCAGGAACAGTCCGTGATCGTGAAACTTGGCGATGCTTCCATTGCGGCCCCCTTCACCAGCAAAAAGTCATCCATTCAATGCAGTAAGAATCACAGGGATATCGTCAAAATTGATTCATTCCCTCGAAAACACAAGTGTTCGTTTTCTTGCAGTATGTCACGTGATCAAGCAGGGACGCTGCACTCTGGTCACGACCCTGCAGATGTTCAAAATACTGGCACTGAATGCGCTGATACTCGCCTACAGCCAGTCGGTGTTGTATCTGGATGGAATCAAGTTTAGTGACGCGCAGGCGACTTTGCAAGGTGTCCTTTTAGCGGCATGCTTCCTCTTCATCTCACGATCGAAACCGCTGAAAACTCTGTCGCAGCAAAGACCGCTACCAAATATCTTCAATTTGTACACCATCGCAACTGTATTATTGCAGTTTGCCGTACATTTCATCTGCCTCGTCTACGTGGTGAAAGAAGCTACCATTTTATCTCCGAAGTGAGTTGTGCAAGTTAAATGGAATCACTCGACCGTGCTCTTCAAATTACTTCTTTTATAGGGACGATAAGTTGGCAGCCATCCTGAATACTTCCAAAGAGGTGAATTCGTTGGGAGAAAATGACAGCAGCGAGGAAGAACCCTTTGAGGCGAATTTAATTAACAGTACTGTGTACATAATCTCGATGTCTCTTCAGGTTTCTACTTTTGCTATAAATTATCGAGTAAGTTGACCCTTATATTTTATCATCCCGCTAACGCGACGTCATTGACAATAAACGCTAATTGTCTCGCGTACTGACAGGGCCAGCCATTCATGGAAAGTTTGACACAACATAAGGCACTTTTGTTAAGTCTCGTAGTCAATTTCACCGTTATCTTATTGCTGGCTTGTGGATTTATGCCGGATTTGGCGGTGCAGTTCGAGATTGTAGACTTTCCAAGCCAAGTAAGTTTTACGTAACGAGATATATGATTAAGCTTATCGCAATTTATTCACCGTTGAATTTGCCTGACGTACATTTTATTTACATACCCTTGCATGTTGCAGTTCCGTACGACACTGGTTCAAATACTAGTCGCGGATTTTGTCCTCGCATATATAGTCGACAGAGCTTGTTTATTGCTCTTTGGCGAGGGAACACAACACAAACTGTGATGAAACTACCTTTTATCGATTACAGACTGTATCAAAGATTTTTGTACGTAACTTTTGTTACTAATCTTGTTCCACGTTAAGAGCTGACAATTTTTGTATTTAAGGCTCGATGATGTACCTGTGAATACATGTGAATTATTATCTCAAATTGCATTTTGTATTTTATGTCGAAACGGTTTTTTTTTGTTTTTGTCTATTCGTATGTTGTGTATGAAAATGTAATGTGAAAATATAACTATGTGCATTCAATCATTACTCGCCTAACTGTTCACTCTATGTCAACTTTTTCTCCGTGGAACAAGAAACAAGCGCTCCGGCGATCATTATTTATTGTCGATGAAGATATTAATGATGCTTGATAATCGTTGATAATTATTTCGATGATCACAAGTCAGTATTGCCTTTATGTACTATAAAATTATATATTATTTATTTACAGCTATAAAACATTATGTCGTAAATTTTCGCAATTTCGACAACATTTAACAACAAATATTGATCGCTTTTGAAAAGGTGCGCGTACTCATGTACATAATTTGTAGATAAACGGTTCTACTTTTCTCTCACATTCACACTTGACGTAAGTCTTTTACACAGACATGTTATACATTCAAATTTGTATAATTTACACACACACACACACACACGCGCGCGCGCTACATACGCATATATATTTTTTATACAGACACGTACACAAAACGGTGGATTGTAATTGGATCTCATTCGTGATTAAATGAACGACACATGAAGTGCTTACGCGAATAACTTCCTAACTGCGATATGGGACACAGTTGTACGTAGCAATTTTATACAACACAATTGCATTCCACTTCGATCATGTTACGTTACAATCTTACGTTTTCGCGTTTGCGAATGAAGCAAATAATTGCACGTCTTTTCAGTTTACAAATTTTATTTGAGGTGTGCAATTAATTTTCATGTCACGTTCAGACAGATCTGCGAGGTGAAGCGAAAGGATATTTCTTTATTCGAATTCGGACTAAGCATAGTTGTATAATATTGTACATTTATAATAATACTAATAAAAATAATTGTTGGAAATATTCTTTCCTTTTTCAAAGTGATTTTAACAGACGCGTGAAAAGAGCTCAACTTAATTGACGTAGTTCATCCAATTTATTAATTATTTCATTGCCACGAATGAGATTTGCCGTAGGCGAAGTTATATCGACGTCACAAGAGGAGAATTATTTACGATTATTCGCCATATTCGCCGGGGTTATCATTTTGTATTTTAGTGTCGACAGATTTGCGTACTCAAAATTGCACAACCTTATTGGTCCCAGTTTCCTCGATGCAGCCATTTTGAAATGACGTCAGAAGCGAGGAATTTTTTTTTTCGTCACGATTCACATCGAGATACATTCATTTCTTTCGAGTTTCGACACACCAGCGCGCAGATTCGATAATAGCCCGGCGAGGATTCCGAAGACTCTCGTCTCGGTTCATAAATTTTCGCCATAGCCATAGTTATTTTTGTCAGTGGACGTCGACACGCGCAGACTCAACTATACAATGCATTTATTAGCGCAAAAGTTAGAAAAAAAACTCCAGTACGTTTGACCAGCTAAATATTCATACGATTTTGCATGTAAAGTTAATGTCTTAACGCGTAAAAAAAAGAAAAGAGAATCCATGATTGTTCTCGCCGCACTGACGTCACAGGCCTAATAGACCTGTGTGGGGATCAGAAAGGAGCCTTAGGGACTCGCAAGTAACTACGAGCGAAGGTCTGGTCAGTCTCTTGATCGATAACGCTTAAATTGCCGCGCGCTAGTCGTGCCTCGGGCGAACGCTGACTGTGCCACTGTCAATGACGCCTTTTTTTAGCGAAAGCACGCGCGATTTGTGTCCCGCGACGTAATCGCTAACGCCGTCGTGCCGCGCTCAGTCGATCGCGGTCGTCGCTTACGGGCGCGTCTGGTCTACGCCGCGGCCGCAGTCTCGTCTTCCACGCATGATAGGCCGGTCGACGTCCACGCGCTCGGCATAGAGGAACGGCGGAGAGCATATGTCACCGCTCGGGAGCACTCGGAGCACTTACGCTTGGCGTCACCGCGCGGTGAAACTTGGCGCCATGTGCCTCGTGAGGAATCGAACGGTCAGGAGTTCCCGACGGAACCTCGCCGCGTGAGACTGGGATATCCGGTCGGCAAATTCCCTCTACGAGCGGAGTCAAATTTTCGCGTTCTCTCTCCCCCGCTGTCCCCCGTTCGTCTGATGAGACTGCGAAAACCGTCACGTTGTGATTCGCGAATGATCGATGAGAAAAGAGAAACTCGAACTTTCGAAGGGAAGAATAAAAGAGAGAGAGAGAGAGGAAGAGAGGGAAAGAGACAGAATAGGAGGACGGAAGATTTATTGAGAGAAAAAGGACAGTTTACTGTTTGTGAAGGACGAACTGGTCACCGGCTTTTGAAAACACCGCCGCGGCACAGTAGTGCGCGATGCGCTGAACCCGGTATAACAGAGATCTAGACTCGGACTACTTGGGATGAGATAGTTTCGAGCTTCGGTTTTCTCTCCAAGGTTAGTGCGCCCAACAATTTCATCTTTCTCTTGGAATTTACACATTTCGAAGGATTTTGTGAGTTTTCTGAAAATTTTTTTGAAATTTTGCCACACATTTCACCAGTAAAATGTATGGTCAAATTAAAAAAAAAACTCGTAAAATGCTTCATTAAGTTATTAAGCACTTTCATTAAGTTATACGGAGGGAGGTAGGGCAATAAAGGGTATTAATATTTGTTCTGTATTGTAAGACCGACAATTATGTCGGCGCGCAGTTCTATTTCGAATTTAGTCACGATATATGACTTTCGTGAAATAACTTTAGACTGTTTGTTGCGATAAATATTACCACATGCCCCGGTGGTCGAATTGGTGAGACGCCCGCCCGAGTTAGAGGGAGGTCCAGGTTCAAACCCTGGCCGAGGTAAATTTTTCGCGATAAATTTGAAAACTAAAATGTTCGAGCCCGGCAACCACAGTGCTCACGTGTACACGCATTTTATAATTTGACTCTGCGAACGGTATATCTTTTGGTATATGTTCTCAATAAACTCACATCTCAATAAACACAGTTAAGTTTAGCTTATGTAATGAAGGATATATACGTATATGTATATAATATTATAATACATTGGGTGTTCTAAGTATCTTAGAATTTAGGTTCTCAGCGCTTTACCAGCGGCGGTCAAATTGATTTAATTTGCCACAACTGTTAGATCTGATTTCTCGCCACTTGTTACATACTGCTCTTACATCTTACTTGGCTCTTACATCCTTTATTACTTCGTATTCGTGATTTCACGTCAGAGCCTTATGAATTTTAGTTTCTCTTGAATAAAAATCTTTCCTTATAGACCCGGTACAGTACAATGATTATGAAGCTGCCTAATAATTTTGCCCAAGGTTGTATTCCTTTCTGCTATCCGTTCCGTTCGCCTACATTCCTACAACGAAGAAAGAGAATGCGAATGGAAGATCGTTTTTTGGGATTCCTCGAGCGCGTCTGCGTGGGGCGTGCATTAAGCGTCGAATATCGCCGCTAAATTTTCCGTCTTTCCTACCAAACCGGTTAGATATGATTCGGAGGTTTTTGTCAGCCGGTTTTTTTGCCGAGCCGCGCGGGAAATAGATCCAGATTGTTGTACACAATTTCCGAGACGAGAACGTAGGTGGTTTCTCTCGCAAAATCCTCGATAAAAATAGGACGCTTGCGAATTTTAGACGCTGCTCATTACGTGACCATCTTACGTGCGAGTTTCGGGACAGAGGCGGCTGTGAAACGCGCTCCGTTCACCTACGCCCGGTCGTCGAAAGAATTTACGTTGCCTCATTCACGAGCGCAGCTCGCGTAAATCAGCAGTTTGTGTTTGCGCGCAGAAACGAATCAAGGGAAATTCAAAAGGAGAATCCGCGCAGCACTTACCGATCGTTGATTAAGAACCGCCCGTGCGTATCGCTGCAGTCTCGATACTCCTTGAAGATCTTGCCGCGCAACAATTCGCGAATGTTGACGCGAACCACGTGACCAAGTACGCTAGATATAAAGAATGACTATTAATAACTATAGAAACGTGTATCGTCCGTCGACTATCGCGCGCGTGGCCGTAGTGGTCGGTAAACGCCGATTATCCACTGCTGATGCGACTAATTACGCCCGTTCCGCGCACGCTGCGTGAAGTAATCGTGAAGCAGGAAGTGCCCATCGATCGCGAAACCAAGTTGAAAATTCCAGGTTCGATGAAATCCTCCAATTTCTAAGCGCACGTTCCCTTCATTCGCGCGTCTGTCGTCTATTAACAATTTACTGTCGAATTCCATTATCTCGACATTGACGGACATGACCATTGGACTTTACATAGGACGATAACGCATGGGATCAGTCCCGGCCTTCTCTCGTCCAAGATTCTGAGCTGTCGTTCGCGAGAGCTGCTCTATGTGGCTTCACGGGAAACGTAACAATTAGATCTTATCGTTTGAATGAAGCGTGCAGTAAGTGTGGTTTTCGGGAAAAAACGTCGCCGCACGATCGAGCAGCCTCGACGACTCGAATATTAATTAGCTATGCAAATTCCAACTGAAAACAGTAATGAGAACTGCCTATGGTTTCACGGTCCGCTTACCAGCGGACTACTTTTCGCTCGTTAACGCTCGCGACTCCGGCAATTGACCCTGGCGATTGATTGGAAAATAACAGAACTTTGAACTCGGAATTGCACGTGACTTTGCAGAAATAGTGTCGACCGTCAAGTACCTTCTAGCGCCGTCCACGACGTTCCCCGTGGCAATAATCTTGATGGGATTATTCGGGCTGCCGGTGGAGAATACAAAAATGCATGCGAGAGAAAGATCTAAATATAACAAATAGGAATGCGCGGCAACTCGTACCTCTCGCGACCTTTATTTTACATTTGCCTTTCAGTCATCGGCTGAAAATCCCTTTGATTAGAATCTTATCTGCCTCTGATTAGAACGTTATCTATTTTAATCAAACTTCACCGCTCGTTGGTGCGAAACGGAAGCGCGGGGTTTCAGGGATGGCAGCGCGAGCTATGCAACTGCCGCGATTGTCATTCAACGTTAACGAGACCAAATTACTAGCACGTGCGAAGAAGTCACAGGTCAGTGGCTTCTCTAACAAGGAAACGTTAACGGCAGCGGGCATTAATAATAATGGTCGCGATATCCTTTGCCATCAATTGACGACGCGACATACATCCTTGATACACTTTTATTGTCACGAATGATAGCACTTAATTACTGTATACATAGATGGACGTTAGTCAGCAAACGCGTTGTACGACACAGGCCGAATAAAAACCGGGCGAAATATTCCTGGCGGCGCGCCAGTCGATAGTCCTTGCTGTAGGACTAGCGGATTAAAAATATCGGTGCACACCGGCTTTGTAATCTGAGATACGACTCACAATTTTGACGCTGATCTAAAAGAGATACAATGCGTGATTCAGACTGGGCGGAAAAGTGCGACAGTTTCTTTTTTTTCCCTCGGTATATTTTCGTATTGGACCGAAATAGTCGGCGCGGTTATCGCGGAAGCCTCTGTCGTTGTAAGCAGTCGCGATTAACAAGATTGTTAATTAAAACATCTCGTCGATTCGGTATCCGCCATTAGATAATCAGTTAAGATTGACATTCATTAAATTAGTAGTCAAGTGTCGCACGCAGCGCAAAACGCTAACTCACTTTGTGCTCGCGGGACGTATCGATGCTTTCGCAATAAGTAAAATTTATTTAAGTACGCGGTGGGAATTTTCTCTTAAAATTTATCCCGCAAAATCGTGCAATCGTGGGACAATATGGCATTTCGAAGACCTTTATGAGAGTTTTTTGAAATTTTACCATACTTTTTGCTACAGTGAAAAAAAAATTGTTGATATTGCTAAATATGTTTAGTTAACAGTATTTCTTCAATTCAACTGTATATGTTTTTCAATTAGACATACATAACTTATTTAAATATATATTTTTAATTAACAAATGTTTATGTGAATTAACAAATGTTTGTTTGACAGCCCGTGACTGCAGCATATAGTTGGATCAAGAAATATTTCCTTGACTCAACAGTTTTTCTTTCTCAGTATAGTAATTATACTTAGTATACATTTTACTGATAAAATGTATGATAAAATTTCGAAAAACTTTCATAAAGTTTACAATGCCACGTTGTCCCACGATTACACGATTTCCGGGGTAAATTTTGAAAGAAAATTCCGAGGGGGAAACCGCTGAGGGCATTGTGGTGTACAGATTTGCGGCATTACTGGGCATTACTAGGGCATTTTTTGGGCATTACGTCTTGCTGGGACATTATAAAGATAAAATAAGATAAAACTAGAACAACACAAGCGCGCGCTTCGCGAGTCGAAGAGAATCGACTCGCAACAAGATCGAAATCGAATTTCGAGAGAGCCAATCGGCATCGCGGAAAAGCGACAACAATGAACTCGCAATGCCTTTTTTAGATAGGGATCGAAATCGAGTTTCGAGAGAGCCAATCGGCATCGCGGAAAAGCGACAACAATGAACTCGCAATACCTTTTTTACATAAGGATTATAAGATAAAACAAGATAAATGAAATAAAAGAAAATAATAAGATAAAGTAATGCCCACTGGGCATTAGTGGGCATTGGTGTACAAGATTTTGGTCAGCGGTTTCCCCCTCGGAAAATTCTCTCCGTGCAGCGACGTTCTCAGCGTTTGGCGAACAGGAGCACTAGGAGAGCATTGAGATATTAAAAAACGTAAAGTATAAAGATCCTTGAGAGACAGATAAAATGCTAAAACGTGTATCCAAATATAATCGGTAAATTAATGCGCCGGCCGTGATTAAGATATGCTACGAATATCAATTGTGAAATTGTATCTGCGATGATATACACGCGCGCTGAAAAATTCAGTTAGGCACGATGCAAATTCAGCAATGGATATATTTGGCTCTTTGATTTCAGTAAAGATGGTAGCTGTATCGGAAAGAGGATACTTCCATTGGATCGATTGGCTGGTGTTTGCGCTTATGCTCCTCGTGTCTGCCGCAGCCGGCTTATGGCACTTCAGAAGGGCGCAAAAGTCAAGCACGCAGGACTACCTGCTTGGAGGAAGGAGCTTAGGACTCTTTCCCGTATCCGCTTCCCTCGTTGCCAGGTAAGCTTGATTCGCCATTCTACAGGATTTGAGACTATTAAAAGGAGAAAAGGAAATAAGGAACGGATGAAAAAACGGAAGAATCGCGGAATTTGTTAACGTCCGAAAGGCGGAAACTGCGACCGTTAAGAAATTCTTTTTCAACCGCAAATTCTGTACCTCGATTCGGAACGAAGACTCTTTCAACATTCGCGACGTTGATTTTAATGTTTACCGTTTTACGAGCGGTATTTGTGTCGATTCTAAATGACGTTGCATAAAAATTCGCTTATCGACATTTATCGTTCGATTCGGGCTTAATTGATTAGCCATGCAGAATATTTAATTCAGTTCCGATAACTGTAGCTTCATATCAGGCGTGACGATCTTGGGCACTCCGGCGGAGATCTACAACTTCGGCACGCAATATTGGATCACGATCTTCTCGATTCTTTTCGCCGGTATCACGGTCGCTACTGTGTACCTGCCTGTATTTACTACTCTGCAACTCAACTCCGTTTACGAGGTTCGTCCCCATTTGTTTAATTCCATTTAATGCGCCTCCCAACGAGGCACACTTTTCACGGTAAATACTCTCCTTTCAGTATTTGGAAATTCGATTTAGCCGAGCCGTGCGGATTCTGATTTCCACAATGTTCGTATTCGACGTGGTAAGTGGTACACAATCTCACCCGTTCACGATGCTTTTACAACTGTTTCGGAAAGTTGTGAGAATAAGAACCGACTGATTTCAGATCCTTTATCAATCGATCGTGGTCTATGTTCCCGCGCTGGCGCTAAATCAAGGTATTTTCTTAGTCTGTATATTCATTATTCACGTTCACATTCTAACCTGCTTTTATTCAACTTTTTGCTAATTCGTTACAGTGAGCGGCATCAATATACATCTGATTGGAAGTATCGTATGCGTCGTCTGCGTTTTCTACACCGTCTTGGTAAGTCGTGACTTCGTCTAATCTAGATCGCAGTCCTACGATCGTAGAGGAGCGAGATAGCCTATGTTTCTCTCTTGCTCGCAGGAATTTGACGAACTCTTATGGCCAGTCTCTGATTACAGGGTCTCTAGTCTAATCTGATGTTCTATCTTTTACTTATCTCGTAGGTCGTAGTCAGCAAGGTGGTCCGACGTTCTACAATAAGTTTTCAGGATATTCGTAGCTATCGTTGCACAGATATTCGTACATATCGTTCCTATGCTCTAATAATACGTCACTGCGCATATCCGTGAGCAAAAGCTATAGTCTCTCGCATAACAGACCGTTTTTCCGAAATTTATCGTAAAACGTCGGGCAACCTTCCTGACCACGACTGTACAGTCTTATTCATTAACGCCTGGACCGGGATTTTTATCATCCTTTTTCCCATCTATACAAATCACAGAGTTTCAGGCTGTATGTATATACTACCACAGACTTCTATGGAAGGATGGTGTGGACTACAGCCTGAAACTCGTCGATGTATAGATGGGAATGAAGATTATGAAAATGTGAATCCCAGTAGAACTGAGGTCCAGGTATTAACGAATAAGACTGTACATAAAATTAAGAAAGATCTCACGAGGACTGCACAAATGATCGCAACGATTGTCATATCGACGATCGTACTTGAATGTCGAGAGCGGTATACGCGGGGGACGATGAAAACGGCCGTGGGCGGCCGGGGAAACGGAGGCCTAAGCTAATTTTCCGGGGGGGAGGCTCGTTCGCCAAATTCTCGCGGAATGGCTGGAGTTCCTCGGACACGGTCTACCGTAGGAAACAATTTTCAGAGAGAGAGAGAGAGAGAGAGAGAGAGAGTGGACAATGCCGTGAAGAATCTCACGCGAGAGCCTTAGTACTGGAAATGTTTATGGACGGAAACTGAAAGCCCGACAATGGCGCGGGGAAACAATGGCGCGGAGAACGTCGAGCGGATGTTATCGTAGCAGCGGATCACAAAGCCGGCGCTGAAGTGATTAATCGCGGGATCGCGCGCCTGTAATTATCCGAGCAATTTGTTGGATCTCGTATTAATGAGAATTTATCGTGGTTGAGTGGCTCTTTACAAATTTGTTTATTATACGCTGTCTGCGCACGCGCGAGCGTGCTGCGGACTATTATGCAATTGCGAGCACTCGAAAAAGCATTCGCCGTTATCATACTCTTCAGAAATAAGCAACACCGCCACGAAAATGTCGCTTTTTATCGGGAGATAAAGGAAATTGCATGTAATCCGAATCAAATAGTCGAATTCTTAACTTAATTTTGTAAGAATTTAATTGTCCTCTCTCTCTCTCTCTCTCTCAAGTGAAATAGCTTGTAAAGCATAATATGCTTAGGTGTAGAAACTTGCCATTCAACACCCCGTAAGACACGAGATATTTCCATAAAATGGTCATCGACTACATTTGCAAAATGGTAAGTGGGATAGCCATCTGATTTTATGATAACTGGATCTCCCTCGGACTTGGTAAGATCATGCAACACGTCGCCGTAAACTATGTCGTGAAAGGCCGCCGGTGTGGACGCCAACTGATTGCGAGATATGCAACAATTATATTGCGAGATATGCAACATTTATAAGTTTAGAAGAGACCTTAAATACCTTAAATCTAATACAATAAGTGATATTTTTCCAGAGCATTTCCTTTACTTGATCCTTGGTAAAATGTCGACACCTATTGTCATATTTAGGTACTTGTCCACACTTTATAGCCTCTCTCCTCAACAATTCCAGTCTTTTCTCCGTACAAAAGCAGTAATAAGCGGATTGATTGTCCAAGAGTTTAAGCGCCTGCTCTCTAGAAATAACGAGTAAGGCAACTTGGCATTGAAATTATTATAGCAGGAGCTGCCTTGCGACGATACACACTCTCTTATCGTCCTATGTACATAAGATTGGAATGATTACGAGATGGCAAGTTTACTTGTACAATTCGAGCCTTGACGACTGCACGTAAGGGCCAACGGGGCCACCTCTGGTAGGATCTTCGTCGGGTATAATCCCTGCCCATAGCAAATCATCCTGGAGTCTCTCTATTGCCCCGGGAACCGTTCTTGTCCGATCGGTGTCCTCGATCCTCAAAATAAACGTGCCGTTGTTGCTACGTGCGAACAAATAGTTGTACAGCACGGTACGCAATCCTCCTAAATGCAAGTCACCTGAAACAAGCAACGGGCGAGTAAGGATGCGAGATAACCACACGAAAATGTCGCTTTTTATCGGGAGATAAAGGAAATCGCATGTAATCCGAATCAAATAGTCGAATTCTTAACTTACCACGACTCTTGTCGTCGCAAGCTGACTGGTTAAACGCGTGGATAAACATGTGGAGTAAATCAAGTAAAATTGAACGACAAATTCGAAAACGTCCACCTCCCAAATAGTGAACTCCGTCGGAACAGATTTCATCAAATGCCCACTGCAAATTTTGAAGGCAGAAAGACTGCAGATTGCATACAGAAATTGATATATTCGACATATTGCCATATGTTTTACAAACTCCGTTGCCAAAACAAAAGCCAAATGCGGACGCGGATGGCTATGGTTTTGGTGTGGGTTTCTGATGAATCTGTTGCCAATTTGATGCCAATTCGCTAACATTTTGCTGACCGGGCTTCTAGAAATAAGGCATTTTGTCCGTCTTTTGATTCCATTAGGGTGGCATCCGAGCGGTGGTTTGGACAGACGCGCTACAAGTTGGCGTGATGATAGCGGCGGTTATCTCAGTTACCGCTTTAGGAACCTATCAAATGGGCGGAGTGTCTAAAATTTGGAGCAGGGCCGCCGATGCCAATCGCATCGAATTTTTCAAGTAAGAACTCTGACAACGATTAATTATTTCGCGCGAGCCTATTTCGAACATTCTATCGTACACCCTTACGATGTACAGCTTCGATCCATCCCCATTCACGAGGCACACCGTTTGGACAGTACTGATTGGTTCTTGGTTGTACTGTACCGCTTATATCGCTGTCAATCAAACTATGGTCCAACGATACAAATCGTTGAGAAGCACGAAAATATCTCAATTGTAAGTGAGTATACTGATGATCGTAGTAACGTTTTAATAACGGCGCACGGAGAGAATTTTCTTTTAAAATTTACCCCGAAAATCGTGCAATCGTGGGACAACATGGCATTTTAAACTTCACGAGAGTTGTTTGAAAATTTTAACATGCACAGTTAAAAAATTTGTTTTCTTGTTTAAAAAAAATGCCGGTTAAAATTTTCGTGTTAAATGTTTAACACATTCACGTGTTAATTTAACATACCGCTCTTGCGTTAATTGACCTCAAATGTAAAATTATTAAAATAACTGAAAAGAAATGTTAAAATAACACAGTGTGTACTTATTTTTTAATCTGACACAATACGTATGTTCTATTTTATTAGTAACAAAATTTATCCGTCAAAATATACAGAATAAACTGTTGATTTTATTCTGTATAATATAAGCGAGAGTGATTTCGAGCCGTCATTTGACTTATTACATCTGTAAAATGTAAAAATTACATTTTTAAAATTTATTTTGTCATTATAAATATATTAATTTTACACAAAATTTATTTCAAATTATTTTGAGATCTGCATTAATTTTGTGTTAAAATATTAACATAATATTAGTGTGATTATTTAAGATATCCATATTACGTTAAATTAACACAAAAATTTGTGTGGACCGTTTGGGACATGTGATATCTGTTAAATTTAACACAAATTTTTCAACTGTCTACATTTTACTAGTAAAATTTCCAAACTCTCATAAAATTCCTGGAAGTGCCACGTTGTCCCACGATTGCATGATTTTCAGGATATAAGTTTTAAGAGAAAATTCCCTCCGCGCAGTTTTATGCTACAGATTATAAGAGATGATAGAGAGTAGAAATACAATATGTATATGTATCGTTTATATTTATGTGTATATTAATTAATATAGCCAATGTCGCAAATCTTTACATATATCTCGATTACAGATCCATCGCGATATTTACCGTCAGCATAATGTTGTTTGTTTCAATATGCTGTTGGTGCGGACTGGTCCTTCTCGCTTGGTGGTCGCCACCGAAATGCGATCCAAGAGCTTCCGGCTTAATTACGGCCGACGATCAACTGTTGCCGGCTTATGTCATGGAGATCGCCCATCATTTGCATGGGATACCTGGCCTTTTTATTTCCGGTATTTTTGGCGCTGCGCTCAGGTATTAGAGATCGAATTGATATAATTAAATGAAATGTATAATATTCATCTACTGGGGCAGATCGAGTTTCGAATAACGATTTATAGAAATTTACAAAAGACATTCATCTTAGAACAAATTTTATTTAATAATCGGGCAATTCTTGCGCATTCAACCGAACAGCACATAAGCGAAACAATTGCTTATCTTGTCCCAAGTTTTTGTACTTGTAATTCGAACATAAGACAAAGAAAAGCAAAGCTCACCTACACTGTTCACAAAAATACAAGAACGAAAATAATCTTTATTTAGACGTGAATCGCAATGTTTATAACGTTTACTTGTTAATCCACCGCAAACAAATGTTACAACTGTCCTTTTCCCGCAGTTCATTATCAGTGGGCTTCAACTCAACGTCCGTTGTGATTTTGGAGGACTTCGTTAAAGGTTGCTTCAAAATGAAGCCCAACGATCGTTGTTCCACGATTTTCGTGAAAACCCTTGTCATCCTGTTCGGTTTGCTGGCGCTGTGCTTGCTCTTCCTGATCGAGAAGCTAGGAGGAGTTCTAGCCGTGAGTGACCGGATGTCACGTTGTTATTATTTCATTGCAATTCTGTTATAAAACGTCAAAACGTTATATTTTTTATTGTCGCGACTTAGGTAACGAATAGTTTGGCTGCCATCGCTGCCGGGACTTCCTTTGGCGTTTTCACTCTGGGAATCTTGTTTCCGTGGGCAAATTCCAAGGTGCGAAACAAAATCAACTATCGAGCGAATAAATTACTTTTCATGCAAGCTTTATTCCGCGCGTGTCTATTTTGTGCAGGGTGCCTTTATCGGGGCTATTGCCGGATTCACGATGGCCGGATGGGTCAGTTTCGGTGCGAATGCGGCTATCGGTTCTGGTCTCGTGTTACCGAAGAAACTTCCAGTGCCGCAGTGTGCGGGAAATGTCAGCCAAGCTTTCTTGAAGCAATTCGAATGGTCCAAGTAAGCCGCTATTTTTGTTTCAATTAACGTTCCTAATTTATCTCGCATCGATTCCAACTGACCCGAGTGTGTCCGTTGTGCAGCGAGGACGACGTCTTCCCTTTGTATCGGTTATCCTACCACTGGGTCGCTCCTATTGGCACGCTAGTGGTACTTGTAGTAGGTGGGATTGTCACCTGGATGACAGGTGCGCGAGATCCTTCATCGATCGACAGGAATTTGCTCTCTCCGGTGATTCATAGGTAATCGACTCGTTTAGAAACTTTTTATTGCGACTTTTATTACAACGGAAGGACCGTCACTTTTGATTTACAGGTGGTTACCAACACGACCAAAATATCAAACAGAGGTAGATGGACCGCCTGGGTCGGGATCGACCGATTTGCAAGTATCGGTAAATTTATTACCGGTTTATTCACCGAAAATTGCAACCTGACATTCTGTAGGAAACAAAGAGCAAACGTATCGTCGTGCTTATAACCGACGGATATGTTAAACCGCGCGATTGCGAGATTTTCAAATTCTTTTTATAGATTTTTTATAACCGGATCATTTTTTTTCGCTCTTTTTCGAGGTATGCATTTATGGAAATTAATTGGGCGTGTAAAGTAAATCTCCGATTGTGAAAATGTGTTTCAATTTTGGGCAATCGGAACCAACTGAATTTAGTGTGTGTAAATTTACATTAAGTGTAAATGCACATTGAGCTAAGTGCGTAATAGAGAAATTGTAAAATTATATTTTTATATATATATATCAGAGTATCTATACGTATAGTAATAGACAATACAATGTATATGTATGTATGTAAATATACATGCATGTGTATTTTTCATAGACTAAGTAGAAATAATAAAATGCTCATTAATGTAATCATTCGCCGTTTGCGCACCCGCCGAATTTGATCTTGCCGCGCGCAAGACAATCGATTCTGCGTCGATCACTGAATTATATATAAACTTAGCCGCCGAAAAAAATAGAGCTCGAGGACAGAATAGCCGCGCGATCGAACCGCTATATTCGAGACACGAATTCGCTGAAAAGCCGCCGCTAAATGATGCATTTATTTAATATCCCGATGAATCGCGCGTCGTTCGCTGCACGAAAGAGCCCAGGAATTTTTCGCACGGAGGCCACGCGTGATCGTCACGGGCAGCACGTCCTAAAGAAAATTGCGATTCGCAAGTTGCGTACAGGCTTTATTAAGCGCGCTTCATGCGCCATTTGCATTCGTCTGGGCGGCTGATAGATTCGGAATTTCCACGTACGCCCTACGCGTGTGGCTTATATTATATCTATATATATATTACATCTATATATATATGTGTGTGTATATACATCTATATATTATATGTATGCACATGTGTATGTATAACGCGGAGGAACTGGTGGAGCGGAGACGCGACGCGCGTAGATTCGCGCGCTCGCGCTCGCTTTGGAGACGGACCAACCGAGGAGGGAGGGGGGGAGGGGGAGGGGATGGTCGGAAGAGACCCGGGGTTGAGAGAGCGAAAGGGGTAGAGTGGCTGAGGTGGTGGGCTACAGAGATGGATATAGACAGATAGAGGTGGATAGAGAGAGGTCGCGAGGCTTGAATGGGGCTAGTTTGAGATAGTTAGCGGGCCTTCAGGGGCACAATCGGCCGCGATTGGCGGGCCTACAATCACACGTCGCATTATATGTCCATCAGCACGGCGGATCTCGCAAATACGTTATAGCGCGAGCGAGCGAGCGAGCGAGCGAACGCGCGCGCACAGTAACGCGAGTCGTCGTTCGCTCGCCGCAAAAATGCTGCGGCGCGTACCGCTCCGGCATTCGCCTTCCTCGCGAATGTTTCTGCATTTCGGCTCGGTCGCCGCCGTTGCCTCTTAAACGTCCCGAGCATCGCCGTTGCTGCTGCACCCGCGCGAAAACGCTTCATCCCGCGGGTGCGTACTCAAGTGCTATTGTTCAGGCGAGCAGCTCGTTTGACGGAAGCGGCGGACATTAGATGGCGAACGGTGAATCTCGGCGAGACAGGGACAT